GCCGGCGAGAAACCAGTATCCAGCGTACCATCAAACTGTCGCCGACGACAACTACCTGAAGAAGTTTCCCTGTCCCAAGTGTTCGAGTGTTTTCACTCGTAAACATAATCTGTGTTATCACATGAAATTCGAGTGCGGCCAGTTGCCGAGATTCTGCTGTCCTTACTGCGTCTACCGCGCCAAACACATATCGAACACGCGTGCACACGTGCGCAGAAAGCATCCCAACTGCCGAGTGTATGCTATCGATGTAGGTTCGCATTGTAAAATCAACGCTAGCCCATTCATCGCCACGCGTTCGTAATGAGAAGAATGGAAACGATGCGCGACAAAACTGATTTCTGTAGTCGAAAATTCTCCGTGTTTTTAGAGGCTGATCGTCGAATGGAGGCGTCATTATGATATTTTCGCATAGTATTTACAAGATCGCAAATATATGCTCAATTATTCGAACGCGGATAACGATAGATTAAAATCAATATATGATAGAATTAAGACACAAAATGCGATATTTAGAAAATAGTTCAAATCAAAAATTAGATTAAACAGCTGGGCAGCTTGATTAAATCAAGCAAATTATATTAATAGAAAAAGCAATGTTTTCTTGTGCTGATTAATGAATGTACATATTAATATTTATATTATATTAATATACATACATTATGAAAGTGGATTAAGTAAAAACTTCTTTCACCTATTTTGTGTTACATCAATCTATAAAATCGAAATATCTCAAGACAAATAGTTATCAAAATGTACGATTTAGTCCACTTTCATAATCACCGGCACATATGAGATATTACATCTGAGCAAGATTGCTTTTAATTACATATTATACCATCCTTTTGTAAAGATCTGCCAATTTTTTATTACAATAAACATAGACAAGTTTAATAAACGATTTATTTTGGAGTCAAGCATGGTCGATTAACACCGAGTTATCATTTGGTCGAATTTTTAATATTCTCTGTTGATCATTCTTAAGTGTCGTTATTACACGTCGGTGCACATTCTCACTGTTATTCAAATAATAAATCTCTTGTGTTCTCGTCCGTAATTACGCCGCTATTGCCGACCCTATATCGTTATATTCGCGTTACAACTGGCGGCTAACGCGACGTCTGAATTTTTCAGAAGGCAAGTATCTGACGGAACGTAGATACGGCAGGAAGTTATGTCTCTGCCCCAACTGCGGCAGGTCCTTCAACTGGAGTTACAATCTCCAGCACCACCTGAAGTACGCGTGCGGTCAATTGCCGCGATTCAACTGTCCGTACTGTCCGTATCGGACGAAACACACGTCGAATGTGAGGGCCCACGTGCGCAGGAAGCACCCGGATCGCGCGGTCTACGTCATTGATGTTTTCGACGGGCAGCAACGCGGCGACGTCTTCGACGAGCAGCAGCAGCATCAGCAGCGGCGGCACGACGCACATATGAACAAGCGATTTGTCAGCGAGTTCCCGGAATAAAGAAATCTTTCCATTTGAAGGATTTTTGTCGGTAGTCCTGAGAAAATACCTCCTTCTGTGTGCATGCATCTCCTCGCATCTGTCTGCGTGTGCGTTGAAATAAGATTCGGGAACAAATCCGTCGTCGCCTGCTTTGTTAATACAGCGAGACGTGTATTTTCGCATGATTCAAGAATTTAACATCGGGATTTAATATTCTCTTTGTCGCGTCACAGATTAATCGCACCGCGAGGTGTCCGAAGAGGTTTCTCATACGTCTCTTTCTTTTTCTTTCTCCCTTTTTTTTTTTTAACACTCTAAACAACTGAATCGGACACAAAGTCAGAGTAGAGATTCGATTGCGGAGACAATCGCGATGGATTCTAAGGATGACAGGAATGTCCTATGTTTTTTTTGCAGCCTCTATGTTGATGGTGATGCAATGGCGGGAAGAGCATAAACGGGGACCGCGAGCGTCAGGCGCGAATAGTGTGCAAAGCGCGAAGAAGTTTCCCTGCGACAAGTGCAGCAGCGTGTTCAGCATGAAGCACAATCTTCAGTATCACCAGAGGATCGAGTGCTGTCAGCCGCCGCGATACAATTGCCCTTACTGCTCCTTCAGGACGAAGCATCCGTCGAATGTGCGCGCTCACGTACGCCGTAAACATCCCGGCTGTAAGGTCTGCGTGGTGGATGTGCTCAAGAGCGACGTTCCGCAGTACTTCTGAATTTTCCTCAGCTCCAATTCCATAATTATTTTACGTTTGATTCGTTTACTATTTGTAAGCGTCTATATGTTGTATTTGTAACCGTCTACCTCTCGTGACTGATAAAGTAAGCTATTTACGAAGTACATCTTACCCGTATTCGAGCTTACAAAAGACACGGCATTGGCCTGTTACACGCCAATTTCGGGCCAATAGTGGCAGATTAAATACGGGTCTCTGTGCGGATTACTATGTTTACGTTTCTTAAAGCGATTTATTATTTTAAGATTGTTGTGCGTTTTGTATTTTGTTAAAATAAGCATACATAATTTTATGTTTGAAAAGTAGAAATGAATATATTTATATGTGTTAGAATACATTTATATTTTATACATAACCTTTTTGTGCTTTAAATTCGCTTAGAGAAGTAAAATTTGTATTAATCCTTATTTGTATGAATGCTGACGAAAGAACACTTATTCGCGAAATAAAATGTTCTATGATTTTAATCAGATTCAACAAGGTAAGAGACATTCAAAGATATATTTATCGATGACAAAGAAAATCTATATAGTATTTTGAAGAATAGAATTTTTCATAATGATAAGAAAATTGTATTTTAGTGTCGAAATTTTATTACCGAAAGATTAGTATTTCGAATTCTTTTGTGTCTTTTTGTGTATAAATCTGACTAAAGTGCCATCATACACTAATAAATCACCATTTCACAAAGCTTGTAGCTTCATTACTTTCATCCTTTTATGTGTGACCGTAATCAGTTATTTGCAGCGGAAGAAGAAATAGATACATCAATAAACTTTTTCATGTGTTTTAGTGACGCGTGCAATGATAATAATTCTTATCTAGATTTATTAATTATTCAATTCCCGCCGTGAAGCGACTGATAAGGTATTCTAGATGTATCAAATGTATCATTTAAGGATAACTTAAGAAGAATTCAATCGCGAAGCGTTAATGTATCTGTTGAACGTGCTTTGCTGCGTGTTGTCTCCGATGCAAGGAGCCGCGAGATGTTGTTTAAATTACGTTTTCAAGTTTTCACCCTAGGTATATCTAGATCTCCGAGTGCGCGCAAAGAATTACGCTGTGACATTTTCTGTTCTCAGAGATTCTACCGGTCATCATGCAAGGATATTACGCGCAATCGACTCGCCAGTGCGTCTGCAATTCCGATGAGACGCACCAGAAGAGGAGTTACCCCTGCCACAAGTGTGGCCACGTGTTCACGCGCAAGAACAATCTGTATAATCATCTCAAGTTCCAGTGCGGCCAGTTGCCGAGGTTCAACTGTCCTTACTGCGCGTACCGCACGAAGCACTCCTCGAACGTCAGATCTCACATACGCAGGCTGCATCCCGGTCAGCGGATCTACGTTCTCGACGTGTGCAATAAGCACGATAATCAATCGAAATGAACGCCACGAAGCTTGGCAAGCATTAATTTAAGCTCATTAGGCCAAACGCACGATAGAAAAAATATTAGGAATAGGAATAAATGTTAAATATTAGGAAGAGGAATTTGGAATTATTTCACTTCAAACAAGGAAACGGAATAGGTTAATTATTCCTAATTCTTATTTCTTAACTTATGATGCGTTAAACTACTATTTCATTTTCTTGTTTTCAAATGAAATAATTCTAATTTCTTATTCCTAATATTTAATATTTATTCCTATTCCTAATATTTTCTCTATTGTGCGTTGAAGTCTTACGAAGTGGGTTTAACATGAGAAAAATTGTCCGTTTTGAATAAGGCAGCTATAAGATGTTTAAAGTGTGATATCGATTAGTTGATCGATAAAAGGTTGTTTGCAACATATTTTTTAGTGGGTTATATTATACATTTTGTAGTTTTACGAACGTGCAAATCAATTTGCATCATTATATTTTTCACGCTCGTACGGCATATTTTTTATTTATTTGACAGTTTTTGGTAATGTAATGTGATTAATTTTATTGGTATAGACTGAATTTTTAATTAATATGTGATGTTTTCGCAAAGTAGGATATTTTAAGGTGGTTTGAGCGTAAATTAATTTTCTTAAGAAATTAATTAAATTTCTATCATTTGTACTTAAGATTTCATAAATGTAATTTCACAATTTTAACGATATTGACTTATTAATTACTGACATATTTGACTTCAAAGTAAGAAACTTTTACACAGAGTCTTATGACAAAAGTCGATGTTAATTGTGCTGCAATAAAAAAACTTTTTACAATTTTGATAAAAACTAGTTAATGACAAATGAATTCATAGTGAAGCTTTTAGAAAAAAAAATTACAATAGTTCACTTGTTAATTATTGAGAAATTAAAGTTAAAAATTGAAGATTTTTATTACACTACTTAGCGATGAAGCACTGATATAACAATATGACAATACTGCATTGTTGCGATGTACGAGGTTAATATAATGTTAATCCATCTTCCGTTATGTCTCTCTTTCGCGTCGACATATTTTATACTTAATAATATAAAAAAAATCACAATTACGGATAGAATATATACGCTCATAATACTTTATCTTATAGATTAGAAATTTATAAATAATTCAATACATTCACATTTACGACAATGTATCGTGTATAGTTTAATATACATATTAGATTATAGTATTTCGGGCAACCATAGTTAAAAAATTTCGTGTGTATAAATGAGAATTTCTTAATTTTTTATTCACAAGAACATTGCTTTTATTGTCACGCTCGAACCACCTTAAGATACTATTTAGTTATAAAATGTATTTATTACCAGACAAATGATATTTATCAGGCGCATTTTGTGCAATGTTTTATTTTATTTTTGCAGAGTGTGATAGAAATGGTCTACTGTTAGTTGACTACAAGTTTGTTCGAAACACAAATCTTGTAACTACTGAAATATATTATTGATCAGAAAAATAAATTATTATGTGTTAAAATATCGTCATTTTATCTCAGTGTCTTATTTTTATGTATAAAGATAAAATTTATATACATATACTATATATAATATAATATATATATATATATATATATAGTTGTGTAGCGTGTTGCAGATGAATATCCAAATGCGTAAAAAATAATAAATTTAGAAAGTTATTGCATGGCAAAACGCGAAAATATGAATGCGCTGAACTACAATGTCGACATAGAAAAGTTGGCTCAATGGCAGTTTTTAGAGACTACATTTTGTTGGACTAATTTTTTAAATTTGACGTTAATTATTTTTATTAGTTATCTAAAAAAAAATATTCAATGCTTGCGATGTTAACAGGCGCAAACGTAAGAGAAAGATTATCGCATTAAACTTATTCTAGTTATTTATTCATTTTTTGCATAATTGAAAGCAGAGTTTAAATTCTGCGAGACCTCACAAGTATCTTATTAAAATAATTCATGTAATTTTATCTCAATTTATATAGGTTGAAGGCATAGCACTCATTGCCGTTCATAGGCATTCATAGGCGTTCATAGCGAGCACAGGTTAAAGGCGTAACATAAATAACGCACGCTTAACAGCGATGATTAGCGACGTATTATCAGTAATGGGTTTTTTGTTACAGGCTTCAATCCTTATATCTGGTTTTCCCCTCTGGAACACCGTCACTGGCGGAGAAACCGTAACCACGGACCACCCAAACAGTTTCTTTGTCCCAACAACTGTGGCAGCTCCTTTACCCATCGCGGCTCCCTGACGCGGCATCTACGTTACGAGTGTCAGCAGAATCCTCGCTTCAAGTGTCCGTCTTGCGATTTCCGCTCGCGATGGACTTCCGACGTTTATAAGCACGTGCGTAAACGACACCAAGGCATTGATGTTCGTTGCATCGACACTGGTATCAATTGACGAAATTGACATTCATCTCCATCGTTTGTACTTTTATTTATTTTTCCAGTGATATGAATAAAGATTTTGCAAAGTAAGCGCACTCACTCTGGTTTTATGACGCTGCATCACGCACTTTTCTGTTTCTATTCTCACTACGCTCCACATTTCTTAACATTCCTGTAATTCCAGGGTTAGTAGATTGTTCGGTTGAGGTTACTTTGTTGGATCGTTTTAAAGTTCTTTACTGTTTTTTGTGTTTAACTTTTTCTTTTCTGAAATTCTTATGAACACGCTGGCAGCCTTTTCTCGTAAAATTTAAGTAAATTATATTGAAAATATATAATTATTCGTACTTCTTCTCTGTTCCTTCTTCTTTGTCTCTCATATTTCACGAATCTGATACAATTGTGTCTTTTCTCATTAACAAGTTTTCTCATTCAAAACAATGCACCGATTGTATTGGACACCGTAGGATATCTATTATCTATTATTTATTAGCTTCGTTTTACGAAACACATTTACAGCGGAAATATCTTATTTTGTAGGATAAATGCAATAATGACAGTGATGAATGTGATGTTGTAAGATACGCAAATCGCTCGATTCGGTATCTTTCTCAGCATTCTCGGCGGAACGACGTTCGCTCTCTGATAATTTTAGTGAGTCGCATTAGCAGGCTGTTCCAGCGATCGATTGACCGAGATCCTTTTATTGTTTTTCAGATGTCGCTTTGCGCAAAATGTGCGGGCTGTCGCAGAAAGGCAAGTTTCTGTGCCCGAATTGCAGCAGCAGCTTCAACTGGAAGAACAACTTGCAGAGGCACCTCCGATACGGATGCCGCCAAGAACCGCGATTCCGATGTCCCTATTGCGCGTATCGCTCCAGATGGCTCACCGATGTTTACAGGCACTCGCGCAAGATCCACAACATGGAGCTCCGCATCGATCTTCTTCGCTCGAAATCCAATTAGTATTCAATTTCACATACAATCGCATACAACGACATCGTGAGCTGTGACATCAACTGTTTTATTTTCACACATGCAAGTTACATTGCACCACAGCCAACGAAAGCTCGTAGTTTTTTTTTTTAATTTTTTTGTTCTTTCGTTGCTTCATTATATTATTTAGCTCTACGATTCTGTGTCACCGTGGTTTCAAGTGGAAGGATAATCTCGCCTTTGTATTCGCAGATTCTCATGGGTGGAATTATACAAAAAATATACTTGTTACAAGAATTTTACATGTTCTAACTGCTCAAGTTTTTTTTCTCCGTAAGTACGCTCCGAGGCAACATCTGCGCAGGAAAGAGCCGTTTCTTCAGGTGTTTCTAGTTTTCCATTAGAAATATTACAAACACAAGATCTGCATACAAATTATCCGAGCAATCTTAATTCTCTTTCAGCGCACACCGTGACTTTCAAAATGCTTTCAACTTCGAAATGCTTTGGTCGACAACTTTTGCCAGACAAAAATTAGTGCATTCTGCACTAATTGCGTTAGAGATAAGGAACGATTTTTTTGCATCTAAAATCATGAGTTACGTTCAAAACCGCAGCACTTGTTTCTCACTTGCATGGTTTTTTGTTTTATCGTGCGAAAAGTATATTAGAAGAAAATTGTGTAAATAATTCTGTACAGTACTGCGTGAAAAGTGTTTCGTAATAAAGATTGTAATGTTAACAATGTCTCATGAAAAGAAACAGTAACAATTTGTAACTTACTTTCATGTGCTCCCTCTGTATTATACAATTTTTAAATCAAGATATATTGTTTTTATTTAAAGGTGTGTTTTAAGATTGCATCGTTACAAGCACATCATTTTCTAAAATAAACTATTTCGTTATTTATATTGCATGTGATTGTTTCATAAATTTATCAAACATTTTAAATTCAATTAGTTTCTTATTGTAGTTTTATTTTTTTTATTCTTGCAGCGATTGAACAAAATATTACAATAAATTTCATATCGATTATTTCAAGAAAATCTCTTTTAAATTTTTGTACTTGATCGAATCAATGTAATAACATTTTGGGCACTCGTTTATCATTCGATAAGCATTTGTTCAATTTTGCTACTTTCACACATGAGTTTTACCTTTTTGGAAACTCGTGAACTAATATTTGAGCCGACGCGTTTCTACACATTCGCTTCAATTAACCGGATAAAATTGTTTCTGTGTTACAGATTCTTATTTCTCGTATTTCTACAGCAAGAGGCGACAGCTAATTGCAAGAAGTTTCCTAATTCCAGACTATTTTTCGGAAAAACACTTTGAGTAGACATCCGTACAAATGAGTGCGGCAAAGAGCTCCGCTTCAAATATCTATTGCGATCTTCATGTCAAGTATAAGGATAATTTTTTTACAGATTTTATTAGATCTGTGTGTCTTATGTCGAGTTGATAAAACAACATTTACAAAGATCCGGATTAATCTTATAACTTTGTTATCTTGGAGTTATCTCGTACGGTCTTTTTTCATTCAGCGCGAATTATGAATTATTTGGCTCACAGGAACACGCTTGTTCATTTCAGACTTGTTCGTGCGAACATTGCGTTGGTCGGATTCGGCTCAGAAGGACAAGCAATGGCGGCAACGCGGAATCTACAGTTGTCCTAATTCCAATTGCAACAAGTCCTTCAATTGGAAGGGAAATCTGTCGAGGCATCTCAGATACGAGTGCGGCCTTCTGCCGCGCTTCAAGTGTCCCTACTGCACGTATTGCTGCAAAGTTAAAGCCGACGTGAGCAAGCACATCACCAGGAAGCACAAGAACGCCACGGTCTATGTTTTGGATATCAAGAATTCTTTCGGACAGCGAAGCTAATCGAAGCTTCCACCGGCTTGTTTTTAGGCGACTCAATTGTTGACGAAGAATTTGATTTTTGTAAATAAAGATGATAATAAAGAGAGCGATATATGCAATATTATTATTGATTTGTCAAGTTATATTGATTATTAATCATTTTTAGATTTTTTAACGTTTAAATAAATTTTAAATTGCTTTCAATTTAAAAAGCAAAAAATTTTAAGAAGTTTGGTCAATAAAACGATTCCTAAATTGCATGTTAAGAATAAGTATATTATTTTTTACATTTTTTCTTATTAAAAACTGGAATTATTTTTTATTTTCAGGAAGAAGAAAAATTAATTTTTTAAATCTTTTGCCATTAATTTTTACATGTTTTATTCTTGTTGTAAAAGAGAAATTTTGTTACTGTTCTTTATATTATTGCAGATGCGTGGCAGTGGACGAGTCTACACAACAAATTAATTATTTCTTTGTTGTAAATTTTGTTTGCAAATAAATGTGTTTATCTAGATCACAAATCGCAGACTTAACAAATCGCGACTTTAAATTATTAATGTGGTGTTTTGATATTGCATTTATGGATTTAAAAAACATTTCCTCCATGCAAAATTTTATGGACAATTGTTGTGCGTTAAGTGTGATGTTCATAAATATCAGATAATTTATTTTTATGTTGCTACATCTTTTCTTTTCAGCATTCTTCTTTTATCTGTTTGTGCACATTTCGATTCGCGAGGAAGGTCTTGCGATGAGAAACAGTTTCTTCGTCGTGTTTGCCCGAAGAACGTACGATTTTGCGTCAGGACTGACTGTACGCCCTGTCTGTTCTTCTGCTTCCAGGCGTTAATGGGTCTTTTAAAGCCTTCAGCATATCGTTTTCCGGCGATAAGGTCGACAAGGTCAGATTCGCCTGCCCGAATCATAACTGCGGCCGCGTCTTTAACTGGAAGAGGAACCTGATGAGGCATCTGAAATACGAATGCGGTCTTCAGCCGCGTTTCAAGTGTCCCTACTGCGATTACTACGGCAAGCTCAAGGGCAACGTCAGCAAGCACCTCATCCGGAGACACAAGACCCGGAAGACCTACGTCGTCGATCTGCTCCAAGAGACTCCGTGAGCGCAACGTGATCGGCGAGCGCTTCGAATAACTACACGCCTTTCATTTATCACGAAATAAATTTCTTTTTTCATAGGTTCGTAAATCTATATGAACGTTGACTTTGATCTGTATTTAGTTGCAATCACAGATGAGGTGCTATCGAACGTGTCGTTGCAGCGCCAATTGTTTGTCGACGTTGAATCTGTTGGAAAGTGTATAAGTGTATAAGTGTGTTCTTAAGTGCTTGATCAAAGTTGTAGTTAAAGATACGTAAAAATATCAAGCTGAAAGAATAAATAAATGAAAACAAATGCACAACCGCGTTTTATTCGAGCACACCTGTTGAGAAAATGTTGTCCGGCTTAAATAAATCGTTCTTAAATGTAAAATAAGGTTACATGAACAGAAACATTCAAGGGAAGCAGTAAAAAAGTGCAATTTTATCTTTGTTAAAAAAAAAAGAAGAAAATAATAGAAATTCTTATGAAAATGTTACACCTGAATTGATCAAAGCGTTGAGACTTTACTTTTCGCAATCTTGACGACGATGCTTTTCTCGTCAAGTTTCGGAAACGGCACGCACGTTTCTTCTCACACGTCGCAACGAGCATTTTATCGCGAACGAGTTGTTACTTTTTCAGATAACAAACAGCCCGCATATTGGAGGTCCAAAAGACTAGGCTGCGCGAAGTTCGCGTGTCCGAATCCGAATTGTCGCAGTGTCTTCACGTGGAAGAGGAATCTGACGAGCCACCTTCGCTACCAGTGCGGCCAGCAGCCTAGGTTCAAATGTCCTTATTGCGACTACATGTGCAAAGTCAAGGCCGACATACGGAAGCATATTAAGAACAAGCATCAAAATCACGACATCTACGTCATCGATATCTTCCAACAGTGGAAAGTCTCTCAGTGAAGTACATTGCGAATATGTGTAAAGTGTGGAATGTGTCGCGAGTAGAGAAAAGTCAAACAGATAAGAATTGTTGTACGCTTCCATCTTTTCGTCTAATTTCGATCTTGGACAAAACCACAATTTGGTAATTAAATAATTTTTTAAAGAAGAAATTGAATTTTTATAAATGTTAAATCTGATGACCAAATATTTTGATATTTACAGATTTCTAATCGTACGACTTGGAAGCTATGAAAGTTTTGTAAATGATTTACATATATATTTTTATCATATGATTGTATTTAAAAAAATTTTTAATTATTGCTTCAAAAATTTGCAAACTTTAAGGTAGTTCCAACAATTTCTCAATTATTCCAGATTTATTTGAAACTTTAAGAAATAAATGTATGCATTATTTCAAATTTTTTTAAAATTTATCACATAGTTATTAAAATATCCTTTATTTATCATGTCATATTCAATGTTCGTAGGCTAATCAGACAATTTTGTTTAATTGTAGGAAAAGGACTTTCGAAGTATTTACAAAAAATTAAATATAGTTGGATAAATTTGTTATAAGAACCATATTTGAATTTTGCTAACATTTACCACGTTATTGTTCAATAATTTTTGTGACAAAAATGATATATCATGCAATTTAATATCATGCATGGAGAGCAGAAAGACAGCGGCAAGAAGTATATTTGCGTACATTTGCGTGTGAAAGATACAGTCAAGTGAAACAAAAACTGTCGTCTGCTGTGGAACTATCTTAATACAAAATTTTATTATTGTATTTGATATTATATCTTGATGATTTATGTAAAATTGTTCAATAAAAGTTTTTACTGTTATTTTGATTTTATAGGAGGCGTATTGTTTGTGTTATTATCGCAGATCGCATTTATATCTATTGGCACAGGAAGTCCATCTATCGAAATCTATTGCGACGAATCTGTTTATCAATCTAAAAATGTTAAACACTCTCCTTAAACTTGATCTTGAGGGAAGAAATCTAAATTTCTCTCAGAAATAGCTTTTGTGAAAAAAGATGATAATAATTTTTAAAGATTCAGTGCGACTTTTACGAACTGATGCGATTCGTCAAAGTACAAATTTATGCGGATAGACAATTTGTAAATAGGCTCGAAAGACAATATCAATTGAATAAAGACAATAGCGCGCTGGGGACGTTAATTGGCTGCTCGATTTCCTGCAACTAATTTATTAATATATATTACATATAATTGTTATTAATATATGTTCGTCGCTTTTACAATGAATGCATGAAGCGCACGAGTGATGTTCACTAACGAATAAAACTGAACTGTCGTAATCGGTGTATTTGGTTTCCGTCTATTTCGGATAATATCGGTGCGCGTTGTGTAAACGTTATCTTTTCACTGTTATTTTTCATCTTTGCTTTTAGGTTCGACATTTATGTCATCGATGTTGAATGCGTCTCAACAAGTTCAAGAACAGTCAATGTGGGATTACGGACAACAAAATTATTCATTGACGAAAAACAGAACAAATGTATTTGCTGAAGATATTAAGAGGTGAGAATTATTGATTTATTCATCGATATAAAAGTGAAATTTGCGATCAAGTGTCGTTTTACTTTATTTTTTTATTTTGATTATTTTTTATTTTTTAATAAATCTGTTTTTTTTTTCTTTTCAATGATATAGAAAGTATCGGAATTAAATAGAATAATGAATTTTTTGTCAGGTTCTCATGCCCGAGATGCCACAAGACATATCTGCGCGCGGAACACATGTTGCGTCATTACAGATTCGAATGCGGCATCCCACCAAGATTTCAGTGTCCTTACTGCGACATGAAAAGCAAGCAATCAAACAACGTTTACAAGCATATACGCCTCAAACATTCTGGATTTAGGCTTACATTCGTTAGACTTCATTAAAATTAAATTAAAAATGCAATAAATCTCAGTACGGCATTTCCATCGAGTTCTCTCGCTGTTATCTCCAAACGATTTCGCCTACTTTCAATAAAGAAGTTTATTGCACGCAACATGATCAATTTCCAATTCTTTAATCGATTTTTTTTTTTTTGAAGTTTCCATCTCCTTTAGCTACAAAAATTATAGAAATTGTCTTCGACTTGTGTACTCTTTGTACATAAAGTTGGCAAATATTAATAGGTAATTGATTAAATATTTGTTTAATTTTTTCAATCTTTTATATTACGTTTCCTACGCAAAGATCGATCTTTTGTACATGTGACTTTCAGAATATTGAAATGGCATTGGAATTGCAATTATTTTATTAATAGTGTGCATCTTTTTACAGAAACGCCGTCTTTAGACGTGTATGATAGCAATGGATTATTCGCAGACATTAACTTGCGGAAATGCTCGCAACCTTATGCCGTGAGTTTTGAGGTAGTCAGTCGCGCGATTATCTGTTGTGTCTAACACTCTGTCTTCGCAAGAGGACACGTTTCATCTGGCCCTTATCATATTCGACATGCGATCGGTCGATTGCCGCACAGTATGTCCGTGTAAAGCTTGAAGACGCCTCTAACCGCTTTATTTGTTCGTTTCTTACTAAACACAATGTGTTGTGCCGTTCTCACGCACGTGAGAATGAAGTTCAGATAAGAAAGGGAAAAGAGAATCAAGTGCGAATATCGGGGCGCAAGAGATATTACAAATTAATATGGAATAAATATATGTACTTAAAGAGAGAAAGAAGAAGAGTGGAGTAGTTTTTTCATATTAATTTATAATCTTTTTCGCTCCGACATCTGCCCTTAGCTCTTCTTTCTTTTATGTTTTTTTTTTGTTCTTGGAGAGTCATACGGAACCCAGATAATTTCTCCAAGTAATTATTTTCGAGATATAATTTCCGTTGAATAAAAATTCAAGTAGTTTATTGTAGTTTATCAAATTGGACCAACTTTTGAAGTATTCATCGGTTTGTATCGAGTAGTTTGCCATTCGAGTTCTCTGAACTCGCGAGACTTTACAAGAGTAGTTTACGAATGCTATTCTAAAATGCTTGAGAAAACAAGAGAGAAAGAAAGAGAGAGAGAGAGAGAGAGAGAGAGAGAGAGAAGAAGAGAGAGTAGTAGAGTACGAGGTAATTAACGTACCGAACGACGGACGGTACGGTAAAGTTAGGAACGGTACCGGACGTACGGTAACGTTAAAGTTCGGTTAACGGTACCGGTTACCGGTTTACCCGGTTTACGGTTTTACCGTTTTTTTACCGTAACGGGTTTACCGGTTTTTACCGTTCCGTTACGGTAACGGGTACCGTTTACCGGGAACCCCGGTAAACGGGTTACCCGAAACCGTAACCGGGTAAACGGGGGGTTAACGGTTAACGGGGTAACGGTACGTAGTTACGTACGTACGTAGTACGTACGACGTAGTACGTACGTACGTACGTACGTAACGTAACGTAACGTAAGTAACGTAACGTAAGTAAGTTAAGTAAGTAAGTAAGTAAGTAACGTAAGTAAGTAAGAAGAAGAAGAAGAAGAAGAAGAGAGAGAGAGAGAGAGAGAGAGAGAGAGAGAGAGAGAGAGAAAGAAGAGCGTGTGTGATCGCGAATTTATCCCGAACACGCGGCGGAAATTTGAGCGCTGCTAATTGTGCGCTTCCGTGTCTTTTTCAGCGTTTCTGCAAATTCTACCGTTCCCGTGGCCCGAGGATGCGTATCCTGGCGGCAGAAGCTCGAGAAGGACGAGGACCCGCTATCCGTGTCCGCGGTGCCGCAAGAGTTACACCACGAAGAGCGCCGTCACCGCTCACTACAAGTACGACTGCGGCAAACCGCCACGCTTCGAGTGTCCCTACTGCGGCAAGCTTAGCAAAAAGAAGTTCAACGTGCAGGACCACATTAGGCATAAGCACCCGTCGAAACCGGTGATCTGCAACACGCTGTTCTAGGACAAGCCGCGCGGCCGGACACGGCACGCGCGAACGAAAGCGTCTCGCGCGAACCCGCGAGCGTCGATTTAACACGCGCGTATCGCGCGCCTCTTCACGCGCTCATCGTCGCGTTCTCTTCCTGCCCCGCGAACAGACGAGACGGGTTTCATCTCTTCTTTCAGACTTTTGTTCCTCGAGATTTTTCGACGCGCTCGTCGCTAGAATGTCGTCCCTTCGTACCTGTTTTTTTTTTTTTCCCCGATTGAATATTAATTCTAAGATCGAGGTGTGTTTTATACGTGCGCGCGCACGCACGCTTATATTCCGCTTCACACTCGAACGATACAAAGTTTTGCGGAACAATGTTATGTGATTGAATATTATATATTTATTTAACACGGTACTTAGAAGTGGTAGCTATTATTTTAGACTTGTTACGTGTTTCACGTTGTGTGCGACCGCGAATTCGAGTATAATTGCACGAATTATGATTACGTACTTTCATTCGCGCTGAAACCGTAATGTGAATTATTGAAATTGCGAAATGAACTTCATTAGTGAAAGTTATAAACTATTTTTTGAAGACATCGAGCTTAAAATATCGATCGTCAGCTTCACGAATTGACGGCGATATTAATAGAGAGAAATGTTAAAGCGTGTAATCTCTCTCTCTCTGTTGGAGGTGTACTTTTATTGAAAATAATACGAGGGCGAGTCACAAATTTTCCACAAAGTTATTAGACAATATTTATTATGAAAAGTCGAATAATAGGTCATTTTTCTATATGATGATCATATTCTTTAAGACACTTCATCAGAAATGTTTTTCTAATGATGGCGTGCTTAAAGTTTGTGGTGCATATTCGTTCTTAATTCTGTGAATATTATGAAAATATTTATTCTTTAAGTAAATATTTCCTTTTTAACGATAACTTTGCGGAAAATTTTTCGCTTATCTGCTGAATAATATCAAGGGTATATATCTCATCACCCGAGGATGTACTTAGTCATGTAAAGTAAACGAATATGCGACTGTTTTCATGTTTCAATAAAAGTCTTTTACCGAATAAGCGAGGACTTGCGAATTTACGTGGCTTGTGAATTTCTGCGAGTTCCTTGTGCATTTCTCGTCCATTCTGTCTCTCTTCTTCTTTCTTTACTTCTCACGTGTTCTTCCCCGCGAATATCCCTTCTGCATGGAATCCCGAGGCGTTTGTCGCAGATGCCGTCAAAGGATCAACGATGTTGACCGTCGCACCGTTTTTTGTAGGTGGAAGGCTTTTCGATCTTCTCACCACGCGCTGGAAGAAGAATGCGAAGAAACGAAACGTGCAGCAGTACAACTCGGACACCGGCAAGTTCCACTGTCCGAATTGTAACAACGGCTACGGCAGACGGGACACCATGCTCGGCCACTTCAGGTACGAGTGCGGGAAAGCGCCGAGGTACAAGTGCCCGTATTGCAACCTCTGCAGCAAGAAGACGTCCAACATCTATCAGCACATCCGAACCGTGCATTCGAAGGAGCAAGTGGCTGTTGTGAAACTTTACTGAGAGGCGGCGGCGGGTCTCTGCGCCGCGAGGATCGACTTGAAGAAACTAGGCAGGGATCTGGACGTCTCGAAGCTTGTCGGATTCGACAGGTTTCTGTTTCTGGAGTCCCGGAGAAGTTTTATTTCTCAAGTTCCTAATCGCTTGCGTTTACGTGGCCTTTGTATGACTTAAGCCTGAGAGCTTTTATTCGAAAGTGTGTCTCTCATGCGACCGATGAGAGATGGACAGAGGAGGGAGAGAGAGAGAGAGATGAATCACGTATGTATAATTGTGTCTTATACAAATGACGATCTCACGAGTGTATTGAGAAAATAATTTTTTTTGCAGACTTTTCAACGTGTGAGATGTTAAAGCAATTGTGTACAATCCTGTTATTGCGTTATTTAATGTACGATTCCTTTTACATTATTTATTTATAGTATTATATTTTTATCTTTGCTAAGTCACGCGATCTCTACTTGGAAGCCGAAGCTTTTGTAAATTCTTTTATTGCGTTTCTAAATTATAATGTATATAACATTTCTAAGTGGAATGAAGAAATAAAGAGCAAGAGAATCTGATACTCTCCCATTTATTCAGACGTTAAATTTCGATAATAATATTGAGTTGGCAGATTATATCGATAGATTTTGCCAAACGCATGATGCAGAAACTTCTGTTTACTCTCCTAGCATAACTGGCGGCGAATTTGAGGTAAATCTCACGTGAAACTCGTATCAGAATTGAACCAAGAAATGTGTGTGCTAAAAAATAATCGACATGTCTCGTTACAGACTCTTTTTCTAGGCGACACATCGTCGACAAATAGCAAGACACAATCGATCATCGTGCGGTAATTGAAATAAATATCAAGCGCAAAATAAAGAGTGACTACAGGAACAGCCGCGCTAAGCACATTCGTGCTCGAAATTTCGAAAATATGAATTAATCGATGGAAGGAGTGCAGCCTGTTGCTGCATCCGTTCGCGTTGCACAATCGAATATCTCGTTTTTATTTCTTCAGCAATAGCGAATGATTTTCTTGTTTCGCGTTTTTTTGCGTTCGTAGTTGCGTGTGAACGTGCCAGCAATCATTAACGCGAGATGACATCGGTTTCAGAATTGTGGGACGACGCGGCGACAGCGGAGAGGGAGCGATCCCGGACGGCGTCGCGACGATTGCTTCAGCAAGCATTGCAGCAGCAGCAGGAGCTGCGCAAAGCGAGGGAGAGCGCGATCACTTCCGGCCGGAAGTACCAGTGCCCGAAGTGCGAAAAGTCCTTCTCGCAGAGCTACTCGATGTATCGGCATTTCAGATACGAGTGCGACTCGTTGCCGCGTTATCAGTGCCCGTATTGCGGCCACGTCAGCAAGTGGTCCCACTCGATCTACAATCATATCAGGAAGATCCATCCGGGGCAGGAAGTGACGCTGAACAAGCTCTACTAGTCCGCGGTCGAACGCGCCGGCGTTTTACGTGTACGATATAACCAATTAGACAGAATAATATGTGATGCGATACTTTCTACTCTTGCGTGCACTCGGAGGAGAGTGAATGTTTCTTTCCTTAAAAGTTCACTTTTCCACGTCGTACCGAAAGTCGTTTCAACCGAGATCGTAAATCGAAACACAGCTCCGAGGAGCGATTTAACAACGTGTTGCGTTGTAACGACGATTATTCGATAATACATTAGACGATGCGATTATTTGAGAATTGAAATGATTTTTGCCACTCCAAAATGTCCGACTTGTCTTGTAGAATCTCTGCTGAGAGACGCTTAGATTCTGATCGTCTAGATGAGATCGAAGCAGCGCTTCGATCGCTCTCGAGGACGAGGAGGCATCTCGAAATTCCTGCGCGATCCTCCGTCCTCTCCGTTGCTTCTCGAATTCTCCCGCTGTTGAGAGAGAGAGAGAGTGTCGGTTGCGCATTCGCTGCTCTAATATACGACCCCCGTCTTTGTTTGTGCTTGCAGACTTCAGGCCGATCGTCCTGGAGAAGTATCACGGCGCTGTGCGGAGTCCACGGCACACGTTGAGACTTCATCAGACTTCCCTGAATCGGCGCGGCTTTGCCTGTCCCAGATGTGCGCGCACCTTCCACACTTCCGGCGGCATGAGCCGTCACTACCGGCTTGAGTGCGTCGACATGCCGCGCTTCAAGTGTCCGCACTGCGATATGCGTAGCAAGTACACACAGGCTATATACAGGCACATCCGGGCGAAGCATCACGACATGGAGCTGCGATTTATCAAGCTGTATTAAACACGCGACTTGGAGACTGATTTATATTGCCTAATTTGTACGCACATCGACTGACAGAGTTAGACGCATCTTCCTCAACGAAAACAACCTTCCTCCCTTCTTGTTATTCGAAAGAAGAAAATGCGGCAAATACCAAATAAATTTCGATTGACGTTGCATGAAATTGTTTATAGAATATGATTAATTTTATGTTTTCTTTTGTAAGAAAATATCAGCAGAAACTTTTAATACAAGCGGAGGAAGAGAAATAGATAATTATTAAATATTTATAGAACTGAAGAATTTCATATTTTATGGAGTGAGTTATCTATTAATTAATCGTAGCTATTTGTGTTTTGTGGCTATCTGCTTTTATTGCAAGAATCCAAATAGTTTTTTTTCACCGTTAAGAAGAGTAATCAAATAATAGGAAATTAGCAATTATACCCGAACATGTTTCTGTGATAAAATTATACTTTTACTATATTGTGTTATGTAATATTTACATAATATGTTATATAGTTTAGTTATTATATTTATTTAGTTAATATAAGTATTGTTATGAAGAACTTAATGCGTAGACGAAAATAATCTAGGAATCAGATTGGCAATTTGCCGCGCTGACTCTTGTTGCGCACACTGTAAAAAATTCGGTGAATTTATGCAAATCAATTTTCATCTCTTTATTTGTGTAAATTTGTTGAATTTTTTTACAATATAGACAGTGGTCTAAATTTCGAAACATAGTATATTGTAAAGTATTAAACATATATGCGACTGCTTGTAACAGCACGTCGAAGAAATTGTGTGTTCCCTTTGTAAGCAATACGTAAATGTGTAATCATTTTTATTTTAAGAAATTGTGTTACTTTTGAGTTTAATTAAATGTATTTGATTTGTAAAATTATCAACAATTAGGCGATAAAAGAAGAAAATGAAAATATTGATTAAGGCATTCTTCAGTTTCTATACTTCGGCTTTCCTTATTTTTATTTATGTATCGTATTCATCCTCGCAAGCAAGAAGAATCACGTTTTTTATATCTACGTAATTGCTTATCAACAAAATTGCTCTAGTTTGATAAAGTAAAGAATCGCAGCATAAATGCTGCTATTAATTCAATGCGTAATACATTGAATTACTGAAAACGATGTCCAGTAATGCCGTACGCGACGATTTATTATATCGACTTCTTTTTTTGCACAATTTTTATATGATATGTACTGACTTTGTCTTATGCTGCGTTATTTGTAAAGAATTTCGTGCATTACTTGTGAAAGAGAAACGGACAAGAGAAAAATTCCGCACCAAAGATGAATTCGAATGCAAAGATGCTTGATCAGCGTGTGCAAGTAATGCTTCATCGAGATATGTAATTTGAACATGTTTTGTAATTAATGAACGATTAATGACATTTAAACATGTTTTGTAACTGATGAACGATTAATGACATTAAATGACAACGAGGAATGTTTAATTAACCAGCTGTTGCTACGAGATTTGCTTGAACTTTTGATTAGTACCACTGTACCACATTATGAAGCGCATGACGTGTTTTATGTTGTATTCCCTTTTTATGTCTAACACCTCAGCCATTGAATGCATTTTTTTTCATCCAATTAAATAAGTCGAACCGATTGAAATAAACTGTAGTCGTAGGACGATTTGTCAGGAAAATACTAGCACCTTAGTGACATTTCGACAAATTTAATTTCTGGCCGATCTCGATCACTTGAATTCTAAATCACTTCTCAATCGTCATAAAACGACGTCGCATTTATTCACTCCTCGAGGTACGTCGACGTAGATTTGCTTTTTGTGTTTTCACTCAATATCTCATGAATCACTCGTGTTTTTGAAGGGCCTCCCATAACGATGATAAATATATCTTCCAGATCAACAGTTTAGGCCAGATCGGAGTATGTTTGAGTCACACGTGTTGTGTATTATTGAAATGTCGAGGTGTTGATTTGTTACAAGCGCTAAAAGCTCGAACGCGACTGCTCGCTTAATCCTTCTGATCCTGTGACAATTCTTCCAGGTAGACCCATGCCCTACAACAACGACTGGTCCAACTGCCTTCGTTGCTCCGGTCCGACCGTTGCGACTCATAGCTTTCCGACGAAGGACTGCTTGGTGCGGCATTATCGTTCCCGCGGCGATCATCATCGCGGCGAGAGCCGCTTCCGGTGCATCTACTGCGATTACCAGTCCAAGTACAGCTCGAATGTGTACAAGCACGTGCGAAGAATTCATAAGCATATGCCATTCTTCAAGCCAGATCGTTTGCAATAGAGATGCTAAAGGCGATAACGAAAAGAATTTTTTTCTTTTTTTTTTTTTTCTAATTTGTGATCACAATTACTATTTTTGTTTTCGTATATACACTTACATATAAATACAGTGTTTTATAGAATGTGTGCATTCCGATAGAATTTTTTGGATTTTGAATTTTTATTGATTTAATGTGGTTGCCGACAATAAACACGTTAAATAGTTTAACAATTAATTAATTTAATAATGCAGGAATTGTCTGTCGTGATAAATTAAGTTTTGTAATATGTGTGTCATAATGTGCATTTACTTGTTTGTAATTTTGTTATGGGCTGTAATATTTTTTTATTTTTGGCTTTAAATTTGAATATGCGAGATATACTTTTTTTCAATTATTGAACTTATATTTTTAGCGAAAAATTGATATATTTTTTAAGTTTTTATTTAGTTTTTATTTCGAATAGAATTTAGGATATTTATCGTTTCTGTGTTTGTGATTTTCTTTTTTCTGATTAGTCAAAATACCTCGATGCTGTTAGAGAAATTAGTTGTTTTTATGTTTGGCTGTGCATACAAATGATTTGTACCATTATTTCTATAATTAGTATATTTTTAATTTAAAATTGTTACTGAACAATAAAAATGTTGTAAATACTGAACTTTACTAGGTTTTAACAAAGTTCAAATTATACATTCTGCGGATTTGTAATGACATCTCCTTACAATTGAGCAATAAACGTTGTTGTTTATATATTATATTGACAGCAGAGATAACGACATTACCCTTTTACATTTCCTGTCGATGATTTTTTAAAAAAAGAAAGAAAGGAAAAAAAGAAGTTTCAAGATGATAATTTACGCGATTGGACATTACACTTTTCTTTTTCAGGTTCAATAATTCGATCGGTCTGAATAAGATCAAATCGATGAGAGGGAGTTTATCCGTGAAACTGATTCTTTTCTTCTTACTGTCGTTCCTTTTATCTTATTAATGGCACCAAGTAGTTTCCGTAGAAAACCGAACTCTCAAGATTAAGTGTCGACAAATGATTAATTGTCTCTCTGTTCCTTCTTCTTCTATTCTTTCGTTTTTCCGAACGTCGATGTGTTTTGGACATTTTTACTGATCTCGATCTCCCGATCTGTTTCTTTCTTTTTTCAGTATCGCGGAAGAATTGCCGGGGTTCGCAGTTTAAAGAAGCGTCCGAAGAACGCGGTCAGAGATTCGTCTGTCCGATGTGTCAAAGCTCGTTCAGTAAGAAGGGCAACATGTTGACACATTACAGGTATGAGTGCGGGAAGGAGCCGCGGTTCCAATGTCCCTACTGCGGAAAGAAAGACCGGAAGTCCTCCAACACGTACAGGCACATCAGGACGTACCACAACGGCGAAAAGATCCACGCGTACCGGCTGTACTGAGCCACGAGTGCTTTAGCGAGCGAGTTGCTACAATGCGGAAAATAAACGTCATTTCGTCGAGTGTCGTTAAATCAAATGAGTTATCAATCTCAACCTTATATGCCTCTCATTGTTCAACGGACGATCGGGCGATGTTGCGAGGGAGCGTGACACGTGGGAAGCCTGCAGCGAAGAATCTCATTGTCAGTGTAAAGAATATTTGTTTTCATCATACATATCGCTTGAGATCTCTTGTTCACGAAGTGATGCTTGGTCACGATAATAAGATCGTGGATCACTCTGCGATGTTGTCTCCTTTCTTCCTCAGGATATCACTCGTTCCATCTCTCTCCTCGCGCGGATTCAGTAACGTTTCGCACGTTTCTCGTGCACTCGCGACTTCGAGAAATCACTCCTTGTTTGCGACTCCTTTGCTCATTTTGTCTCTCTCTCTTTC